CATTTCCCATCCTTTTATCTGTAGTGAGAAGAAAGTCATCTCGTAAAACTTAAAATAATACTCACAGAGGAATCAGTGAACTCTTTCATACCAGATTATCAGCTGTAAGTTGGTCAGAAATCTCTTTGAGTTGTTTTGAATCTACGGTATTGTTCAATCTACACGTCTTATCAATAACCAACTCATCGGAACCACTGAATTTTCAAAATCTATCGATCAAGATCACATCATACGATGAACTAACTTGCACATAAAAAATGATGAAAATCCACAGTGAATGTGTTGGTCGTGGTGTGAGCGCAGCCCAGAAGAACACTATCAGAGGTAATGGCAATGTTAACAAGCATGCAGCTTGAGCATGCAGAAGGATGATTGCGACGTAGCATAAAATTGCCGTATGTGACAGAAAGACGGATGATGAGGCGTTTATGAAACGCCACAGTATCGGTAGTCTAAGCCAACGACGGTGTACTTCATCCATATACCTTGAATTCTTCTCAACTTATCATTTGCCATCATTGAACTGATCATAATCTGTGATCACTCTAATGTGATTAAACTATCCGATTATCATTGATTAGCACAGAAATTTTAGAAAGGCTTTTAGACGATAACCACGATTGAGACGTTCGGTTATATCACATGATTTTTATACGGTTTGAGATTGTGATAAATCATAGTAATGCTATCATATCATTCTAGTAAGTCTAGTGAACTTACTTAACAATGTCGTGAGCATGCTTCACTAGACAGACTTCTTTGCCAAAACCCATACCACCAACATTTCCACTCATTGGTGACTTTGTGCCCTTAAATTGTTCATTTTCGTATTCATAATGCTAATTCTTGCTTCACTTCTGTCTTCGTTATCTCAAGCATTCACGAGCAGATGTTGCTTTCGAAAAAACACTGTATATTTTATATTCTTTTGCTTTCTCCAACTACTCATAATTTCGATTTTGAACATTCAGAGAAAGCAAAATCGAACAGCTGGCTGCCAATGTTGAGAGAAATGAATGAATTTGTGATACTTTTGGTAGTCTTTCAACGAGCAGTTTCTTCTCGGTATCAACCACATAACGGATGTATTGATAATCAAGTGACATACGACCCAGCCACAACGCTGTTTTTGCAATAAGCTCTGATACTGTCACGTATGGCTTCCTTTTCCGCTGAAAATTGCGTGCATGAAACGTTAACTTCCCAGTCTTCTTTTCAAGATTATTCAATCTTGACGAAGTAGTTCAGTCATTTTTCACAATAAAAAACATTTTTTCTGCGGTAAGTTAGCATTTCATTTCAAATGGTAAGTTCCTCAGATACTGTTACGTATTACTTTTTCTTTGTGGTCTTTGCTTCAGTTATTGAAATAAACCACTAATGACATTGAATAGAGTTCGATGATGCCGAATTAGCGCCACAGAGAGACCGCTCTGTTTTTGTCGATCAGATGTTTGAACTAATACGAGTCATACGAGAGGAATCGTTTCAACTGACAAAATGTACCTTCTTCAGTTTTTTTAATACGGAAGGCCTACTGTCACTTTCCTCATTCGTCATCACAGCTGAGGCGATTGATTCACGCTCTCTAAAGAAAATGATTTATTCCAAAATCGGTTTGAATAATGGTACAGTTCCGGAAGCTGACTATTAAAGAAGGAGAAGATATGTTTCGAGGTTTGAAATGCAACAAATTGCACAGGTAGGATTTAAGTTCATTCAGCAAACATTTCTTGGATACAGCGCATCAGAAACTTTCGTTGAGGATAAACTAGATCATAGAATGCAAGAGATCAAGACGATGAATCATTTTAGGTATTTGAAAAATGAAGAAGTGCCTCCTCGAAGATCTTCAGAAGTATTATAATTAAAATGATGCATACGAGTCTTCTTTTGATCGACGACGTCTGCAAGTTCGACAGTCGGCAGCATAAGCCTCTTCAGAAGCGTCAAAAATCTCTTTGTTCCAACCACGAATCGCTAAAAATAGCGACAAATTTAGGAANATTTCATCAATATTTAAAGCTTTATTGGACAAGAACGTACAAGAACGAATGCTATCGACGTGGGCAAACTCTAAAAATGGGGAAAATTTTTTGTCTTTCATCTGCAGCCGTTAGAAAGCGTTCCACTGTTCCGATTTGGATAACATTAATATTGCAACACCAGTCGATTTCTGATACGTATGCAATGAATTGAATCAGCTTTTCAGTCTTTGGGTGTTTTGTAGATATGATACACAGTGAAATACGTTTCGCAATTCGTAACTCCATCGCTACCTGATCAGTTTTTGATCTTGAAACGATTTTCAAACTTACACTGAACTTGAAATCTGCCGAACGGCAGTTCCATCTTGCCAGCTATCGCAGTTCTGCGTTTCATTTCACCCACTCGCACTCGATCCTTTTGTTGTGCGAATGACATTGCTTTGAACAGAAGCTGATCGTGAAGAATTTGACCTCTGTAATAATATGGCCTCTCGTTGGTTTGTTCATAACGGTATCTTTCTTTCAAAACACATCGAATGCTCTTTTCAGTCAAAACCAACTCACCTATAGCAGATAATACGATCTGCACGAAAATCGGTTACAGTATGTTGAAAATGCCTGCAATAAATTGAGTTTATCTTTTCTCAAGAGTTGTGATCGATAACGAAACATCGATGATGTTTTTAAGCATTCTTCCGAAATTGGAAACAGATGACAATGAAACGTTGAAAATTTCGCATTCAAA